AGTTATAATAAATATTTATTTATAACAATTTTATTACAAATTCAATCTCTCCATTGATCAGCACTAGTATCATAAGTGTTAATATTTTAGATAGCATATCTATTACTGATTCACTGTAATGATTTCCAACTACTAATATTATTATCAATTTTTAATAAAAAAAATTAAATAATGTAGTTGACTAACAGAATCGTTAATGAATAGTATTAAATTTAAATGATATTGCAAAAAATAGTAATTAAAAATTCGATAAAAGTTAAATTTATAATAATGTTTGAAGTATGTATATCTAACAATTTCTATGGTCAAATGATAATTTCTTTAGTCAATTCAGACAAAAATTGTTGAATGTCTTTCGCTATGATATTATATTAAAAACTAATTTATAATCGATAGCGGTATCATTAGTTTTATTATCAATGTTATCCATTACAGTCGCTACATAATTTTTAATCCGCTTATTATGGAAGGCATAGTTAGACAATATGATGTTAAGGTCTATCAATTGTTAGGACAAACATTTGAATGATACTTTTGAAAACTGAAACACACAGTTTTTTCAAGAATAATAGTTCAAGTAGTAGTACTTCTAAATACGAGGTCTGTTTAGAAAATAACTTTTTGAATTACGCGCTAATAGACATATTTAGTGATACGCGGTTGGCAGCATTGCGTTGCACATAATCTCCTCTTAAACGACATGTTCTTGAATTATTGATATCTCATTTAGTTTTAGTGATATTGTTATTTGAGTGCAGTGTTTAAGTTTTAGTGACGATTTTTGAAATGTGCGATTTTTAATAACAATGCAACGTAAAATTTTGAGTGAAACTGGAGAAAACTTTCACGGAAACATTTCAACTTTTGAAACAATCATACGGGGATTATGCTTTGAGTCGTATGCAATGTTAGGGATGGTTTTCACGATTTAAAAGTGGTCGTCAGTCAATTGAAAATGATCCTGCACCAGGAAGGCCTTCGACTTCAATGTTCAGAAAGTTCAAGATCTGGTGCGTGCAAATCGCCGATTAACTGTCAGAGAAATTGCAGAAAAGGTTAGCATCTCAATTGGGTCATCCCACAAAATTTTGACCGAAAAATGCATGTTGTTGCAGCAAAATTTGTTCCTCGTTTGATGACCGAACAACAGAAAGAAAATCATGTGGACATTTGTCGGCAACTCTTTAAATAATGACGATGAAACATTCATTCAAAGGATCATAACGGAAGATAAGAGCTGGGTTTACGGCTACGACATTGAGACAAAAGTTCAAATGATATCCACGCCCCAAGAAAACAAGTCAGTCTCGATCCAATGACAAAATAACGCTCACTGTTTTTTCGACTTTAATGGAATTGTGCATTCTTAAGGCCGCATTTCACTGATATAATCGGGCTTGAAAATAATAGCCCTGTATACCAGTCCAGTATGAGTGTATATTCATTTGTTGCACTACGTTTTGGACCCGCCTGTGCCAGCCTCAGTGAAAATCGGCCTTTAAGGTGAAACAATGAACTGTATGTAATATCACGGCTTTTTACAACAGCTACGTGAAAAAATTCAAAAAAAGAGACCAGAGTTGTGACGAGACAACTCATGATTCTTGCACCTCGTGCACCATAACAATGCGCCCGCACAAACAGCTTTGTCAGTTTTGTGCTAAAAATCAGATTACCGTAGTCTCTTATCCCCCTTATTCGCCAGACCTGACTCCTTGCGATTTTTTCTTAGTTCCGAAATTAAAATCAGTGCTGAAAGGACGCCATTTTCAGACTATTGATTACATCAAAGCAAATTCGTCACAGACTTCAAAGGACATTTCAAATGAATCTATCCAGGACTGCTTCGCGAAATGGAAACACCGTTGAAAAAAGTGTGTGAATACGGGAGGGGAGTACTTTGAAGGAAACAAGGATCAATAATGTATAAAGTTAATAACAAAGTTTAAAAAAATGAAGTTTGGTGAACAGACCTCTATTGATCAACTGAGCTTTATGAAAAGAAAAGAAAATGTATTCAACAGTGTTGAATCAACACTAGTAATAGCTAATTAATAACCAGTTTAATTTGAAAGAGACAAGGACAAATAATGTATAAAATTAATAATAAAAATTAAAAAAATAAAATTCGGTTATTTTCTGAACCGACCTCGTATTTATACGATAAACGATATTTTTATCGCACTTATAGTATATGATTGTATGCATAACTTCATTCATAAAAAATTTATTTTATTTTTATCTATAAAGGTGATTACAACATGCCTGGGCAAGTAATACACAATATAATTTTTTGAATTTCTCTGCATACAAAATTAATACATAAGGCGCTACCAAGATTTCGTATATGTTTATAATTTTAAAATTCCTATTTAGTAATGAACTGATGTTTAAAGATGAATACAGTAGGTACTTAAAAATCTCCATAATACACTCTCAGTCCAAAACACCGTTTGTAAAGAACAATCAAGGAGTAACCTCTTAAATTTTGAACAATGTAGTTTAGTTAAGTCGAAATTATTATTTTTTAATCTTTTTTTAATAAGCGACGTTTCGTAATTATTGCCTTTAATTAAATACTTAACGCCTGTGTTAAAAAATAAACATTAATTTAACACTTATGTGGAAGAACTTTCTCAATAATTATTCAATTTACACTGTTTTATTTATGCAGTATCCGAATAAAACAATAATAATAAAATTACCTAATTTTAGTACATACACAAATAATCCTTGACTTATCCTTTTGATGCAAGGATTTATTTAATAATTACTTTTTTCCATAGGTGGCAAACAAACTATTTGGTCAGACACTACAGTTTTAAAAATGTTTGCGGTAATGTGACAAAATTATACATATATTCAAAATTAGCGAACATAACTAAAAAATAAATCTAGAGAATAACAAAATGAACTAAATGGGACAATTAATAACAGTGTTCCATTTGGAAAAATAGAGAAAATGTTTAGAATTTCTAAACTTGGCCTGTACAAAATAATGCATCATGTCTCGCAAATTTGAAGTGGTAGGACAGACTTTATTTTTATTCCGTCACCCTTTGAAAACTATTACAAATTTAAATATTTCCGGCACAAAACTAACTTCTTGATCAACTCGCTTTCATACATCACCTGCAATATTCCGTAAAAAACTTTAAAATACCCTATTTTCATCCCATTTAACTTATTTCAACAATTTTTTTAAATTTTAAATAATAAAAGAGCTGTTGTATAATTTCTATCTTAATGGACTACCCTGTATAATAATGTGTACACAAAAAAGAAATAAATGAGAATATGTATACACACGTCAGACAATCGACGTCGGAATGAATTTTGAAAGCATGCAGACGCGATTTTGAAAGGTACTTAAAGTTTAATCGACCACCGACGCAGTAATATTAGATTTCGTTTTATTTCCCTAGTTCCAGGGAAAAATATTCAAAATTTGTGAAATTAGGGAAACTGAGAATTTTTTTGTGATATTTTGTGCGAAACAGAGGTTTTCAAAATATAATAAAGTTTTCATAATTGCAAATCTGACAATATAGGCCGGTCAAAATCAACAATAAATTCGCAAAACATGATGTATCTCTGATTTTTTTAGTATGTTGTTTGGACCCATTAGGGTGTATACCCAAGTTTGCAACTTTCAAAAAGTTGTTTCATTACCAAACCAACCCCGCTCTGCACTTAATTTAAAGGTAATGAAATTGCCTACAAATTATATTCTACAAGTTCTACTCCTAGGATCAATGGTTTCGACGCAATTTCAGTCCAAAGGTCTAAAACTAAAAATTTTCAATTTTTGAAAAAACTGGCCTATTTTCAAAGTGCCGTAATTCGGTAACCAATTGACCTACAGAGCTCCGGTTGGGCTTAATTTGTCACTAATTTGATGCTCTTAAAAAACGTACAGAATATCTTTCGACGAAAAATGCATGGATTAGGAGATATAGAGCAGAATCTGAAACAAGCCCAAAAATTTCGCGGTTTTTGCTGTGTAAAAATTTTTCCACAACTTTTTGAGAGTTGCAAACTTGGGTATATTTAGCCCTAATGGGCCCAAACAACATACTAAAAAATCAGAGATACATCATGTTTTGCGAATTTAGCGATTTTTTGTGTCGATTTTGACCGGCATAAATAGATTCACTACGTATTTTTTTATTTTTCAGAAAATAACTCGGTAATTTAATTGACTTTTTTTTTAATCGCTAAATTTCATCCCACTTCCAACGAATTTCGGTGGCAAAGTACATTTATAAAACGTACTAGCTAACATCTAGGTGTTTTTCAATCTACTCTTCTGCCACTATTAGACCTCTTTTATGCACGCGTTTTTCTCCTCTCAACACGGAGTTGACAAAAACGCCGCGTTTCAAGATACCCTGAATAGAGTTACTACGTTTATGCATTTTACGCTCGTTTATTTGCTCTCGCGTTTTCAATTCTGTCGCGATGGCTTTACAGAACGCTTGGCGACACGCGTTCCGAAAAAGCACGAAAGTATATCGACGTTTTTATGCAAAGCGCTCTTTGTCGCAAGTCCAGTGGCTCTGTCTGTCAAGAATAGTTTTAACACAGTTTGTTTTAGTTTTAGTTTAGCTATTGATCAAGCGGGACATGGATGCAATGGACGCAATTGAATTCTATTTCTATTAATTGGATGTACTACCCATCGCCTCTTACGTTTTCTATTACATATTTTTTTATAGGACAAATACAATATACACGGATCCATTTTCGTGTACTTCACTGACTACTGTGTGGCATGAAACTGGCGACAACTGATAGAATACGCGTGCATAAAATGGAACAGAAATATACCGCGTTTTTCTCAATTTCGCGTTGAGAGGAGAAAAACGCGTGCATAAAAGAGGTCTTAGCCTATTGTCTGTCGCGTGCGCCCCTCGTAAAATAATAGAACTTCTCATTCCAATCTTTAATAAAAAAAAAAAACATTTCTTAAGTACTAAACTATCATACTAGGCACTCACTTGCGGCGGGGATTCCCAGGCTGGCAGCCTGACTCGCGGCCACCGACAGGGTGTTGGTGTAGGCGTTGTTGTAGGCGGCCGCCGCGCTGGTGGACGTCGGGTACGAGGGCATGCCCCCCCGGCCAGACGTGGGGGGCAGCATGCCGAAGGGCAGCGACGGGTGGGGTGGCAGGCCGAAGCCGCCGCTCGCCGCCGCGAACAGGTTGGCCGCGTTGGCCGAGTTGGCGTCGCCTCGAGGCCAGTAGGCTGTAAAAAGAAAATTGCGTGAACAACGCGACATAGTGTTTCGAATAATGGAGAGTAGGTCAAGGGATTCACTACTAAAGAAAAATGTGTACAGGATATACCATAATTTTTGGTTGGTCGCCATTACAGGAAAACGGAAAGAGCAAATAGAAAACCACATGAGGGATTTTTATAGCATGATTTATTTATTTGACTTAAAATTCTATTTATTATTATTTTTCCCAATGATATTTGATAGACCTCTTTTTTTTTTTGAAAAATATTTGTTTAAAAAACTTTTTCGATACAAAAGATGTAAAGAGAAAAAACAGTGGCGACTCCCAAGTGTGTTATTGATTTTGTCAGCTTTGCCGTAGAACAATTAGATAATTTCTATATTTACATTCATTATTGACATAAATCATTTGTTTCTATAAAGCCGTTTTGCTATTTCGAATTTTTCCCATCAATCAGAATTATATCATATTTTCCGTTGACTATTTATTTTTTTAATGGATGTAGTAAATTTTCACAAAAATAATTGAAACATGTTAAGTAATGAACATAAACATTGAACGTTTCCTGTTTTTGACGGCAACGCTGACAAAATCTTTACAGGCTTGATATGTCCGTGTTTAATTTTTCTAAACATATTGTCTTTGAAGGGGAGATACATAGAAAAAAGAATTGTTGAGCAAAAACTTTCCACTTTTCGCAAGAAGTAAAAATAATTTATGGAATTGGAAAAACAATCTCGATGACGTCAGTATACTATACACCAAAATTTTTGAGTGATCATTCCATCAGACGAAGTTGCCTCCGTCAAATAATACAGTAAATTTCAATGATCTCTGACGGTATTAAAGTAATATTTTTAGTGAAATGGTGAAATACTTGCAGTGGGGGACCTTCAAAATTGAGGCCCTCCAGCAAAATTCATTTCGGGCCCTTGCCACAACCTTCAATTGAACTGACTGTTTTTATAAGAATTCGAAAAAATCATTGCCGTCGAAATTTTGCGTTTTGCTAGAGGTAACAGGGGACAAAGTTTGAAAATAATGCGAAATTTATACACGACTGATGTTTTTGGATAATCAATGATTTTCAAATACCTAATCCATTTCCAGAAAAAATCGTAGATATCTTTTTCCAGGGCTATGCTCCACCCATTACCTCTAGTAAAATTCAAACTTCTACACCGATGATTTTTTCGATATTTCCATTAATATATTTTATTGAATCGCAGTTCTAATACAAAAATCTACAATCTTCATTTGTGAAATAGTATTCCAAAGTCAAATTCAATTAAGTATCCAGTGGCGTTGAATTTTTGGGGTTCTTAAAGACAATGACTCACTGTATCTCTCAAACTGACTGACGTGTTTATATACGAATCCAGCATAGTTTTACCTTTAATTAGGTGGCAAATTTCATCACTGAACACATGCCTTCTGTTTCAAGGACTAGAAAATAATATAACTTTTTTTTCTGAATCTGTTCCATATCTATCTGAATAAGTGACAGACATAGATTTAAGTAATAAATAAATTTAGTTGTCACTTGAAAAAGCAGGCTCTAATATAGAAAATAATAGGTTTACATTATCACATTTAAGAGCAAATATCTGGAAAGCGACAGAAAAATCGAAATGAAAAAAAGTCTTAGAAAAAGTTGAGATATAAAATGATTCTCTTTCGAAATTACCATTCATTTTTGCAACACTTACACAATAAAAAAACTATTAGATGGTTAAAAGAAAACAGAGTTTAAAACTAGCGTCCCCTATGACCTTCGCTATGATTAGTCGGATTTATTAGTTGTTTACCAAAAAACAGAAAATTGACAATTTTTATTCGATATTACGATATTACAAAAACTATTATTATATCAAGGCATATTTGGCCCAATCGTCATATTTTAAGACTTTCTCTGAGATGTGCTATTCTTAATGAAACACTATACAGGGTGATTTTGAATAGAGTAGCACAGACGCTACCAGTGCATCTAGATGAAAAAATAAGGCGAATGAACATACCTTTGACAAAAGTTGCACTCCTGAGGTATTACAGGGTCTTGAATATTGTAGAGCCAACCAATATTTCCTTCAATTTATCTTGAACGATGTGGCGTAAATCCTTTATATTTGGTACAGACATTTGTTTAGTGCGGACACATACTTTCTATTAATATTGTTTAAATATATCCACCAGAGGCGCTGCTGTCGACTACATGCTACATATTACTCTAAAGAATTTTCCACCCTGTTTGAAAATACATATATCTTATTTACATTTTCGAACGTAACAACTAAAAACAAACATGTTTTCTCTCTTGCATTTTTTCGATAAACGCGATAGTTTTTTTTTAGATAATTCGGAAATTTTACACCGCCAATGGTTCCGTTTATCGAAAAAATGCAAGAGAAAAAATGTTTGTTTTTAGTTGTTACGTCCGAAAATGTAAATAAGATATGTATTTTCATACAGGGTGAAAAATTCTTTGGAGTAATATGTTGCATGTAGTCGACAGCAGCGCCTCTAGTGGATATAGCAATATTAATAGAAAGTATGTGTCCGCACTGGACAAATGTCTGTACCAAATATAAATGATTCACGCCACATCGTTCAAGATAAATTGAAGGAAATATTGGTTGGCTCTACAACATTCAAGACCCTGTAATTCCTCATGAGTGCAACTTTTGTCTAAGGTATATTTAGTTCATTCGCCTTATTTTTTCATCTAGATGCACTGGTAGAGTTTGTGCTACTCTATTCAAAATCACCCTGTGTATAAAGAATACAATTTTCTAAAACTATACAAACAGTTTATGTCGAGCTTTGGTCCCAGCCAAATTCTTTATGTTCAAAAGGTTTTAGTTTGTTTTTGCATAACACACGTATCAAAAGCATTAATTATATCCCCAGCATTGCTCCCTTTTGGTGTATTGTAGTTCCGCCACTGTACATTTCAATGAACCGTAGAGCTGTTTAAAACCTTTGTAAATAGACACACAATGTTAAAAATAATTTCTATCTCCATTACATTTCTTTATCACAGTACTAATTGACGCAATACTAATTTATTCCAGTAAATATTTGACCTTGTATTTGATCTGAAATCTTAAAACAAGGAACACTATTGTAATACAAAATTTGAAAAACAAAAAGATATGTTATTGATTTACAAATGGAAAGTCGTTAAATACAAGAAATTGTTTAATAGCACTAATAAAGTTGTTTTAAAGACTATTCTGTTATTTCGTGACTTTTCCTCGTATATCTTCTGATCGTGAATGAATGACCATGACTGAGACAGAGGCTAATGACATTGTAGGATCATGAAATGATTTATTCTAGGGTTTATTTACTAGAGACAAACTTAAAACTAACATTCATTTATATTTATATAAATATGAAACAATCATCTTGTGCTTCTCGATTATTTAACGAGACAAAATTTAGAAGAAAAAGAGAAATATGGGATATTTCATTAATAATTGGGAACTTACAGCTTAGATTGTCTTGAAATAACGCTTGTGTAAAGCAAGGAATATAATTATTATTTAAACCCATCTTTAATTTCTGGAAACAATGCTCGAACAAGTCGATTTTTATCTTTAACACTTCTGTACCTAAACCAGCGCCAGCGGTAGAGTAAAAAGGGTCAAATACAACATTTTAAATGGCAATTAGTGCAATGTTCTTATTTTTTAAAAGACTTGATGATAAAAAAAATTCAGATAGGTGTATTAAAAATCAAGACTAGCGATAAAAACAGCGGTTTCGAGGAATTTTTATAGTTCACTCAAATCAACAAAAGCAATAAATATTAAGGTAAAAATCATTTGATTTTTTAATTTTAAATGCTCAAAATGACCAACTACTTCTTGACAAAAGGCCAAACGGTATTCAAATTTGTTTAAGATGTTTTGAAATTTTAAATAAGTTTAAAAATAATACAATAGTATAGTAGAAGGTACAAGCAAGAATTAACCCTTTGATTTTTTGTTAACAAATTAGTGAGTGTGATTTTGATTTAATTGATCTGAATAAATTATAAAAATTACTTGAAACCGCAGTTTCATTGATTTGTTTTTACTTGAATAATAATAGTAATATGGAATCGTTCTATTGAATATTTTTTTGACACTGCCTTAAGTTAAAGTATTTAAGACTTTTCAAAAATTTTCTAAGACTTTTTATTATTTCCAATTTCTATGTAGATTTCCTTATATTGTTTCTCAAAGTGCTGAACCTTTATAAAACCATTATAATTTTTATTAAATAAAGGGCATCCTGAACTATACGGATTAAAATTACCTGTGATAGAATTCCTGCAAATAAGAAAAAAAAGTTCACATACAGAATGGATCGCGATATGTTTAGTTTTCGAGATGTAGAGGGTTCAAGTTCTTTTTTATATACTTATTTATAATGTCTAAAGACAAACATATGAAAATTTACATAATTAGTCCCAAATAATTCCGATTCATGGCTATCCCTTTGTCTTGTATAAAATACAGTATAAAAAGTAAAATACAGGCTGTTACAAATTCGCTTCTCACTAGAGGGATTTCGAAAATGGTAAGGAGAACACTTTCTCATGGCCACTTTTTGCCTTCTATCGAATGGCATAATTAATGTTTATATGTAAAGTTTCGTCTCTCCAGGACCATAATCAACTTAATTTTTTTAAATATGAACCTAGAAATTTTATTCCATTTTTTGCAAGCCTTCATGACTCCCAGCTGCCTCAGCCAGAACCAGATTCAGACGTTTTGTTTCGAAAAATTCATCTTCAGTGTATTCGTTGTTTTATCTAAATTTTTTATTTAGATTTCTTTGTTTATTGAATTATCGTACACTGAAAATGTCGTTAGACCATGTGAAATCCATCTAGTTATTTAAACTATAAACTAAAAATTTCAGTTTTTTTCAAATATTTCGAAAACTAATCATGTTAGCCTTGATTTTTTAGAGGCTTAATGTTGGTCCCCTGATTACGCAACTTTGCCCTCATTTAAACTACTTCGTACCTCTTACTGTTTCTGAGATCCCTGTAGTGAGAAACGAATTTGTAACAGCCTGTATACAGAGTGATTCACAAACGGTGACCAAAAATGAAACCTAGAGTAGTAATTTGCACAAAATTGAAAGACGAATCCGAAAATATCATGATTGTTACCGTAAATCAATGGCGTACTATTTTATTTAGAAAAATACTACCACTATTTTATTTAGAAAAATATGTATCTCCGTCACTGAAGTTTCTAAATTTTAGGAAAAGTCCTCAGATTTTGGACAATGTTTACATACATACATTTGCCCAATTTTAAATTATTTCACTTACGAATTTTTAAATTGTTTAATAAAATTAAAAATATTTTTTTAAGTTTAACACCTTGTATCTTTTTAACGAAGCGTCCTAGATAAAAAATTTTCAATACAATACGACAATACATACAATAAGACATTTTTTAGACCAAAAAGTGCAAATTTAAAAGTTCTGTGAAAGTGAAGTGAAAAAGTTTCAAAAAAGACAAAACAAATTTTAGTTCATAATCGTAATTATTTTTTATAAAGGATAAAAAGTGAAATAATTGTACATATTCATTTGTTTATCTTTAGCCGTTTTGAATAAATAATAATTTAAAAAATCGGTAATTTCAAATGAACATCCTGCGCGCATTTTTACGGTATGTAAATGTTTTAATACCCAAATATTACTAAAGTATTACTAAAATATTACGCAGTATTACTCAACAATTACTCAAGCTTGCACACTAAATTACTCCCGCAGTTTTCACTTTGAATTTGGCCTGTGCGTCTCGGGATACCCGGTACGTCGTTACAAACCAGAAAATAATGAAGTCATACAGGCGTATCCACAGAACAAAGCGCACGAAACTTGCAAACGAGTTTGTAAAATATTAATAGATTGCAAACATTCCTATTACCGTCGTGCTCGCGAGGTAAAAAAAAGTAAACTTACCCCCAAAGAGACTGGCAGCATCGAGGAGGGACGCGGGGTCTTGTGAGTTTGAGACTTTGCTGGAGCCAGAATTACCTTCGTTGCTCTTTCCATTTTCTTTATCCATTTCCAACCCACAATACTGGAACACCAAAAAGCAGAAAGTTATAACGCGACTTTTAAACGTCAATGTTTTCCAATCAAAGGCAGACAATCAAATATTTAATTAAATAAAAATTTCGCTCGGAGCGAGAACTTGTACGGAAAAAGGCGTACGAGAGCTCAATATCATACCATGAAAGAGCCTCGGGATTAGATTATTATTTGTGAAGTGGATTTCTACGCGAGAAAACGGCAAAAACTTCACGAATTACAGCGACAGCGGGATTTTTCAATCTGTCAAACGAAATTATTGTTTATTTTCGAGTTGATAAGTCACGAAATTTGAATTAGAATTCGCATTCTCAAAACATAGTAACCTTTGCGCCAAATATTACCTAAAGTCTAATGTCTTCAAAATTACATCCGAAATATAATCAAATTAAATGAAGACATTTGTATGAACAAGCACAATATATGTTAAAATATTCAATTAACATATAATTTAGTTTCGTTCCAACAAGCTTTTAATTTAGCCAACAACCATTAAAGGAACTGTCAAACTGACACAAATAATGAAAATTTATAAAATAACAAAGTTTGCTGGCAGTGACAAGGAATGAGGTAAACAGAAGGAAGCTCTTCCATATTTGCAATTGTTTATACTTTTAATTCCCTATTTTTTTAAGTCATTGGCGTAACAGAGAATCCTTATCGTATACAAACAAATACTAATTTGAATATTAAAGGGGCGCGTTTATATGCGCAATTTTCTGTCCAGCATTTTAGAAATTTTAATCAAGTTAGAAACAATATTTCTTCAATGCACACAAATTTTGTTCAGGGTATAACACAAAGATAAAGACATTCAAAATAAGGAACAAATGATATTTTTACCCTTTATGATTATTTTACGTTCCCCGAATTTTGCACGCCTGTTGAACATATAGAAAATCGCGTACAGTACTAGAAACAAAATCACACCCCGCAGAATGCTTTTAGGAAACTATTAACACATGCATTAATCACAATTATTGAGTATCTTTACAAATTTGCTGGACAAACCAGGAAATGTACATTTTCTGATATTTACATGTTCTCCTTGATCTTGCAATGCGAAAAATCAAAGGATATTGCTCTAGTTTAGCGTTACGCTTCGTCACTTCCTGGATGGATCTACTTCTTCATTGTCTTAATAAATGTGTGACTTCTTGTCTATAAAATGCCTTAATACATTTTCGAGATGTATTTTTCTGTGACCTTTTTAGATATAATATTTATTAAAAAATATTTGTAATTTGTTTCTTCAAAACATTTTTATTATTAGGGAAAAAACAAGTTAGCAACATGAAAACTAACTTAACCAATTATTATTCTGTAGAATCTACTAGAAAATTAAAGATCTTACCTTAGTTCACAATGGTATCGTCGTCTCTATCCAAAAATTTGAGTTCAGCCCATTTTGACGCATTATGTCCTAGAACAATAAAAAATACAATGAATATACATATATTGTGAGTTCACATGTCTATTACAAGCAATTAAAGTTACACAGTTACCTATAATTTAATTTCTGAAATATCTTAGAAAATAAACAACTGAAAATGAAACAATTTTCGTTTTCTATTTTACACAAAAAAAATCTAGCTTATTTTTTGTGTTGATAATAATGTAGGTAATAAAACTATTCCTCTTGGATAAATATTATCCATTATCAGTAATAAGGGGAAAATTAGGGAAAATATCTGACATACCTTGATTCACGTAAAAATTATTAACTACTATAAAATTAAGTAATCTATTTCATAAAATTTGCAAAACTTTGTGGAATCCTATCCTTATTACAATACAAAGCAGTTTCCTCAGCCTGTCTATACAAGATCTCTAAACAAACATAAGAAAAAATATATAAATGTAAATGAGCAACAGCTTCGTTGAGATACGGTTTTAGTCAGTCTCATTGATTTTACATAAGGATAACCCATTAAAATTCGGAACAACCAACACGTTTTTGAGGACCTTTCAGATTTATTTTTGTTGTGACGATACTGACTTTTCTAAATCCTAGAAACATGGAACCTGGTATGGTTTACGGACAGCTCCAAAACAGGCAGAGCGACGGGTGCATGGATATACAGACCCAGATGGAGTGCAGGCTACAGTCTCAGGAGGTTTCCCATTGTATTTCAGGCAGAAAATTTTCTCGATAATGATGTGTTTAGCAGAAAAACATATACATAATATCTGACAGTTAAGCAGCAATTAAGGTTTTGAATACACATAAAGGTAAGTTGTAAACTTGTGCGGAAGGGTTTACAAATACTGACTGAACTGGCTCCCACTAATACCGTTAGATTGTGATGCCAGGATACAAAGGCATTGACGGAAATAAGAAAGTGGGTGAATTGGTCGAAAGGGATCCGAAACATCTCCCAGTGTGGTTAGGGGGCTCTGGGCAAATGGACTGAGACAGGACATAGGAAATACTGGATTTCAAGGCTAGGGAAAAGCCATGCGAAGGAAACTATGGAGTATCCTTTGCAGAAAAGAACGAATGAGTTGCTGAGCTTGAATAAAATTGGGTTCAGGAAAGTGATGGGACACTGCCACTTTATGAAAGGCTTGTAGACAGTCCCGTCTGCAGAGGATGTAACTCGGCGGATGAAACTTCTCTGCATTGCCCAGGATTTGCATGTAGTAGTATGACGCTCCTGGGATAACTCTTTTTTTGAAACCCAAAGAACTGCGTTGTTTACGGCGGTTGTCATGGCAACGAGGTGGCCAACACGGCAGTAAACTACGGCGTGGGGGAACGAGTGATCCGGATATTGAAGCAGCATTGTCATCGCCCATCGCCAGCCTTTATTAAACATTTTATACGATACGCGTCGCCCAGTGCACGATTATAACGGTACTTAGTTAATATTTTTTGTTTTGTATTAATTGTAGAAATGTTTATCGCCACGGTAGCGCAGTCGGTCGAGAGTGCGGTGGCAAGCATTTCTCGGCTAGGCTTCCTACTCTGGTCCGGGTTCGATCCCCGGTGTCGGCACTGGCAATGTCGATGGATAATGGGTGTTTGTCCGCGTTTTTTCAAGTGTAGCCCCCTTCCGCACAAGCCTTTGGCTCTTGGATTTGAGGGTTGTCTCATTTCTGTGGTGTGTTTTATGTGTTTTTTAATGTTATGTTTGCTATATAATGATCCAGTATGTATTTTATTGGAAACGTCTTTTTTCAGATGGAAAATTGAGGACAAAAAAGATTTTTAAATTGCGAGACCTGTACCTTATTCTTTCGGTATGGAAAAAAGGGTAAGTCAAAAGACAATCTGTACGTTCGGAAGTTTCAGAATGAATAGTTTTCGGAGTATGAGTGGTTGTGTTGTGTTTATTTAAAAAAAAATTCTGTATGCGTGTTTAGTTGTAGGTGTAAAGTCAGGCGTGTGGAATAAGGAGTGATTTAACAATTTTGGGAACGTCACGCGAGGCTGTTGTAACCACAAAGCTTCTTTGGAACATATATGTATGTACGGTGTGCGTTAATGTTTGCAGAAGTCCACAAGCCGAACTAATATTTCTATTTTTTATAAAATCTAAATGAAAATCCTTTTTACGAACGGCAGTTTTTCGGTACTATTGCAAAAGCCGTTTGACCTTGAAAATTTGATTATTTTTTTTTTTGATCAATCAATGAATATGCTTCACCTTTTCTCAATGTCACGAGCCGTCACTGGTCGGTAAGGAAGCTTTTGGATTTTGTAAAAAGGACAAAACTAATTGCTGAATAGGTTCGAATAGTGGGACGCACAATAGGCCTGACAAGACTTCAGTGCTATGGGACTTGAATAGAACCTAACCACAGATTAAGAAGATGAAAACTTTTCTAAAATTATTATTTTGTTCTCCTTCAACTTTCTGATATAATTATACTTCAAGCACAGTCACATATATGATATGTTGGTTGATTTTAAGTAAAACTGTAAAAAAGTAGTTTCAGGACTGATGCAAAATAATCAAACTTCGTCCTTTATCAAATATACCTCATATCTCAAAAAGGGAACGTTTGAGGACGTATCCATGAACTTGTTCTTATTTTTTGATAAAAGAATCATCTGCATTATTTCATCGGTGAAACATTGGATATCCATATTTCTGTGGATAACTTCATTGTTTTGCAATTCTACAGCTGCTCTGTACTATAGAATATTTTTTTATTATTACTCATATCCAATTAATGATCGCTATTTCGCCACCATGTGAGAACTTTATTCGCTATAAACTTAACAGGTTTTGTTTACTATTTATTATACACAACTGTCAGTCACAATGCCTTATTTATTATTCATGGCGATTATCGGAACCTGAATATCAAATTTACGGTGTTCGTGTTCGACAAATTTTACAGGATGTTCTCATTTCCATATTGTCAAGTGATAAGCAGACGTACAATTTGAATTGTTACACTAGAAAACAAAACACAGTGATTTGAAATTCATTGATATTCATTGGTGAATCGGTAAACGCTACTCCTTATTTCATTACTCATGGAGGCAATTTCCAAGACATGATGAAAATATTTGGTGCAGGCAAGTTTTTGAGTCCGGTTAAGTTTTTACTGTGTACATTCTTTATTATAATGTAAAATTTCATTTTATATGAAAGGGTACTCTTATTGCTGAAAACACCGTTTTTTAAGAAATACACAGTTGACTGTTCCAAAGTCAGGAAACTTTGTTTATAATTACCGTCAATGGGTCTCTAAAAACCCCAGAATTTCGACGCTATTAAGTAATTCCTAAATATGCATTTCCTAATTGTATTTCAAAGAAAGATGTTCATTTTATTCAGAAAACAAATTATTGGAGTTGTTTTTTAAATCTAAAATATTTTAACAGTAATTCGAAAACTACTTAAGTAGTTTTAGAGTTACTGCTGATTAAATCAATTGTATGGTAAGCTTATTTTAGAGAATTTTTTTGTTTATAATACAATTAAAATTTAAATGCACTTAATTTCAAAAATACTCAGTGGTATCGAAATTCTGGGATTCTAATGGCTGAGTCTTCTAATATCTTCGCCATTTGTGACATAATTTGATTTGCCTTTAGAGCAAATGGAAATACAGACAGACATATTGAACGAGCCAATAGAAAGACCGAAATGACAGTCACTATAAACCACGCACCAGAATGCCATGTATCAGCGCACACACCTAATATAAATACCAGTGAGAGGACTTAATCTTTCATCTTTAGTCTCAAAGTTTCTTCTGGAGAAGAGAGCGATATGTCTCGAAACGTCAAGAAGTCTAAACCAACGAAGTGGAACCAAATACATAAAACATTAACATCAACAAAAATATGAAATAGTTTACATAATTTTTTTTAAGTGCCGAAAGAGAACTTTATGTATTAAATAACATGTAAATTTCTGTTACATTATTGCAAAGTCTTTAGAATACTACTTTACATAGTAACAATTGACTGTAACTGAGTTTCCTATTCGGGGAAGTTTATCTAAGCGATTTTTGATTAGCCAGTAAAAAGTTACGGCATTTTTATCAGTCGCGGAGAATGCACATTTGTATGTATGTGTACTCACAAACTCGTAAAAACGGATGAAACGGCAAACAAACACAGGGACGGGTAGTAACACGCATGAGACGAAATTTATTGAACTTCATAAAAGTAGAGGAGGATAATAAAGTTCGTTATTATTTAGGGGAAGTCGCATAAGTACACTTAAATCTTCCAGAGGAAAAAATATTTGGGTAGCCACCGCCATCATTTAGCAACCATTTTTTTTAAGAACTTAATAATCACTGATTTTAATCTGTTGCATCACGCAGAATTTCATGTATTGCCGAAATGGGAAAAATACATTCACCCTAGAGCAAATTTATATTTACTTTTGCACTTATTTTATTATGGAAATAAGGGCTGTTCTCTTTTGTAAATTTGTTGGATTCCTAACGGTTTTTACATATTAATTATTGATTTATTTGACAATAAAAATGAAATAATGTATGGTGGAGTTCGGAAAGTTGTAACCGAATATTGTTTCAGGAAAATTATTTGAAATAGTACCTAGGTATTTTCAGTAACACAATATAACATAAAAAAATAATCACGTTTATTTCAGATTTTCCTCGTTCTTTAGATTATGAACTTTAATCTACTTTAAAGCTCGTTCAGATTCAAATTTGATGGTCACGTATTACAAAATTGAAAAAATTTGTGCTTATGTTATTAAAACTGGTGATGACATCCAATTATAAGACACATAGGTATAAGGCATTCTAAACTTAACAGGACTTTTCAAAAATAGCAACTCTAATAATGTTTTATTGTAACGTGTGATGGTAATAGTATAAATAACTAGGTGGATTTCACAGAGTCTAACGACACTTAGAGTGTACGATAATTCAAGAAACATAGAAATTTAAAAAGAAAATTAGATAAATTAGGAACGAATACAC